ACCACATGAACAGGTGAGGAGGAGGAGTGAAGCTCCCCCCGATCACCGCAGCTTCACACAAACTGGTGCTGTTTTTCTACAATTACCTACGACGACGGCGTTGTTTTACTGTTGGATGGTTTTGTTGTCCTGAAGGCGCTGTGGCGGCTCAGTGGCTGTGCGTGTTTGTAGATTCTCATTGTGTTGGGAAGTGAACGTGTTGAATCTGTAAGTGGCTGCTTGTTTCTTACCACAAGAATAACAGCAAAAGAATAAAGTGAGAAAAAAGGACAAATCTGGGTCATGTGTTGTTTTTTATGTGAATGTTTTAGGTCAGAGTTGTGTAAATTAATTCACAGGTACAATAGAAAGAAAGAAATTTCATTCCTGAGATTTCAGGGATACAGGACCGTAGCCTACATGTACACATAGTTACATAAGTATAAGAAATGAGCACATACTGTACAGAACAGGAGCGTCTTTACTTTAAAACATAGGTATAGAACATGTAGTCATGGGCCAAAGCCAGAGGATCCGGTCAGGCCCACTGGGTGCTTTTGAAAAATGTGCAAATTATTAAAGTCAGAAAAGCACAAAAACTGTTCCTGTGTGAAAATATATGCATGTTTAAAGTATTTCATCTGAGCTTTTGCATATATAAGCACACCTTTGTGCTTTTGCAGATGTATGAAGTTTAAGACAGGTGTAATGAGAGTGTACTGAATTTTGTAAGTTGATGTTTAAATATGACTCTTTTCAGAGTGTACATCTTTACCATAACTACTTTTGTCATTTGCCAAAACAGAAAAACAAACATCACTTAAAACAAACACGACTTTAGTGTTAGTAACATTACTATACTGTGTTTTATTTTTGTTTTTTACTTCTTTTGGTCTTAATAATCATTGCGTGAAATTCTGACATTTTGACAGCCCCATACAAATTTACAAAATGACTGTAATAAACTCTTTTCTATACCTTTTTATTCAAACAAACAACAGGAGGACCCAATTTAATAGATAAAAGAGAAAGGACTAAACTTTATTTAAAAAACAAACAAAAACAAACCCATCATGGGCCCAACCCACATACTCAACTCTGCTGCTCAACCCACAAATGTATTTTTCTAGCAAATGCTGGAATATTTAAGGGGAAATAAACAGGCCTTCCAATGTTATAAGATTTATTGCCAAGAAGCATTGTTACAACAACGGAATAAGCATACAAATACAAATTTCCTTACTTTCTGTGTCTACTTTACTGGTTCTCATCATTGGGAAGATGGTATGTTTGTACTGATTGTTTTCTTATTTGAAGCACTATCTGGAGTATAAATTACCACTGTGGTGTACTGCCATAAATGGAGCTGAAGGTACTTCAGTATCCACAAATGTGCTTCAGGGGACAGAGCACAGGGTAGATTGTCTTAAAGTGCACACAGAGTCAAAGTATGGGTCTATATTTAGTCTTTTAGTTCTACCTGCTGTGACATAACATGTGACAGGAGTCCTCACCCAAATTGCTGCACAGTGCCATCCAAGTCTGTGTGAACAATAACTGATGGGGTCAGCATGCAACACACTGGAACAGAAACACCATTTACATGGAGATACGTAGAAATGGCAGCCAGTAATAGTGGTCAATCTACCCGTTGTGTGGCTGTCTGATCACATTCATCTCACAACCAAACGTCAACAAAAAGACAAGTTTGCATACTTTCACTTTTCTGTTTTAGCCTTAATGTCTGAATACATATTGGTTTTCTGTAAATCTCAGTAAAGAAAATATTTTAATGGTTGAAATTCACTCTTAGTGTTGAACATCAGACACACTTTTTCATTTCGAAGCTGTTTTGCACATCAGTGTGTTGTATGTAAACCTGATAAACTGCATTCTGCCATCATGACAGCATTGGCGTCATCAGCTGATATATAAAGATGCCCTGTAGTTGAGTCAGATACAACACAGTCGCACCTGAACCAGGACGCCCGATCTCCTTTGTGCCATTTTTAGGTGAAGTTCATTCAACTGGTGAGTCAGACCTATCAAAACATCTGTTTTAAAAGTAGAATTACTGATTTTGGATTTTGAAAAAGTATTGGATTGTAATAACTCAGTGTGAGAATATTTATAGAAGTAAAAGTCCTGAAATCAGAATCATGTTGTTGCCTGACTAAGAGCTTCATCATGAGCAGATTATCAAAGGTATCAAAGGCGTCAGTATACCATTTGTAAATCTTGCTACCCTCCATGTTGAAATGAACAGCTTTTGGGGCTGTCAGGCCTTTAAATCCTTGTAGCTTAGTTTTTTTTGTAGCTTGGTCGATGGTTGGATGAGTGAAGAAGAAAAAGCTATTTGGATAAATTCAGAATTTAGTTTTGTGCTATAAATCTGTGCAATGTGTGTAACACTGAGTAATGCTGTGTCATACTAATGGGCCATGTTGTCGAAGCTTCTCATGTTTTCTAAAGCTTGAACATCAGACATAAGTTTCCTTTTGGGAGGTGTTTGTACATGGCTGTGTTGTACGTAAACCTGATAAACTGCATCCTGCCATCTTAACAGCATTGGTGTCATCAGCTTGCTGTCAGGTGATAGAATATATAAAGATGGACCATCGCAGATTCAGAAATAACACACAGCGAGGGTGTCCAATATCTTTGGCACCATTTTAGGGTAAAATTGCTGAAGCTTTTCATGTCTTCAAAAGTTCAAATGTCTGACAGACACCATTTTTGGATTATAATGAGAAACTGAAGAAGCCATTTATTCTAAAAAAAATTATTTTTTAGAATAAAATATTTTTTGTAGTATTTACATGTAAAACAGTCACATAATTCACTGATGCTCATTTCTACTCTCAGTTTATGTTACTCTTACAGTGTTATTACTCTTACACCACATTAGTGTTATTGTTGACTGCACTGTTTTTAATAAATAATACTTTTGCACCTTTCAGAGATAGATAGATACTTTGATTATATGTCTGTGATCTTTCTGGCATTGTTTACTTTTGGTGTCACTCTTCTGTTTTCACAAATGGATTTTTAAATCCAAATCCTCAATACATTTCAGCTTGGGAAACACATCCATCCATCCAGTTCAGAGTCACAGGAGCACTCTGTCACTATCCCAACCGCGCTCTTTGACTTTGAGAACTGTGACGAGACTGAGAAAGCAACACAGCAGAGACCTGCGCATCTGCAATTCAGAACCTGTAGAGGAAACATCACAAAGTAAGTAAAGGTTCTCACGTCCACGACTTAATGGTCACAATTTGGCCTAATGTATACTGAAGCTACATCATTAACCCAATGACACATTTCCACAAGTCTTTCTCCGTCTGCATGAGCTAATAAATGCAAATGACTCCAAAAATGTTATTGAACCTTACAGGAAACCTTATGCAAGGTACAAGTAAATAAAAAGAAAGTACTGATGAATGAATAGATCAGAGGGAGGGGTGCAAGAACAACTAAGCCAAAGCCATTACTATTGTTCATGCGCTTTCAATGGCTCGCTTGAACATTTAGATGACTCATTGTCATGTCATTGATTCTAGCTGCTCATTTCCTGATATTACAATTGAAAAGTAAGCTGTAAAAAAACAATCTAACAAAAAGACATGTATTCATGTATACACCACATGTAACTCCAAATAACCAAAATGTTTCTACCCTCCAGGTGAACCGAACCCACAGAGCTCCACAGCTAAAAGGCAAGCATCAAGTTAGAGTCTCTGAACATCAACACTACCTTCAGGTTAGTTTACTGTCAGTCAGATTATAAAATAAGCCACTAGTTTGACTGAAAACAAACTTTAACTAGGCTGACAACGAGTTAACATATGTTTGATCACCTGGGTTCTCCATATCTTACATGATGATTTAGCTCAGCACTCATCTAACAATGTTTCAGTGCATTGTTGTAATAACTGTACTGTGTTTGTGTTGCAGACTGAGCATTGACCAGGACAACACAGATAATCAGGCCTAACAACAGCAGAGGAACGTCACCATGGCTCATTTAGAACCCACAACTGAAAACTTGCGTATAGCTCATCTGAACATATGCAGCCTTAAAAATAAGATTCCTGACATTCACCGCTTTTTAACACGTTGTAAAATACACGTGCTAGCTCTCACTGAAACTCATTTAGGCGTAACTGTTAGAAACTCTGAACTAAAAATAGACAATTACAAGTTGTACAGATGCGATAGAAAACCTAATAATGGAGAAGGCTATCGAGGTGGTGTCGCTCTCTATGTTCAAGATCACATTCCAGTTAAGAGACACGTTTTCTCAAATCTGTCTAATATAGAAATTATCTGGGCTGACATTTACCTGCCACATACCAAACCAGTTTTAATAGGATGTTGTTATATATCAAAAACATCCAATTTTAAGTATCTTGAAGGTATGGAGATATCAGACAGAGACCGAACAGAAAAAGACGTATTCTTGCTGGGTGACTTTAACATGAATTGGTTCTCAGAGGACATGCTCCAAATTAAGTTGTTTTCTGAGAGATGTGGTCTAAAACAGATTGTAAACTCTCGTACCAGAGAAGAAAACTGTATTGATCACATCTACACAAATATTCCAGAGCGTTGTGACATTCCACAGTTAATTGTCACAGGCTGTAGTGATCATAATCTTGTTTTTGTTGATGTAAGAGAAAAAAAAGTACCCCAAAGAATAAGCATTCAGAGGTCATACTCTGAGTTTGATGAAAACAGTTTCATTCAGGAAATTGAGAGAACATTATGGAGTGAGGTAATGAAAGAAGAAAAACCTGAGAAGGCTTTATCCAGGTTTATTGAAATCTTTATGGCAATAGCAGACAAGCATGCTCCATTAAAGAAGATTACAACCGAGGATCATCCTAAACCGTGGTGGTGGAATGACGACTTAATACAGTTAATACAAAAGAGAGATGAAGAGGGCTCCACAAGTAAAGCAAAGAGTATGCATAAGAAGATTTTAAAGAATTTCAAAGATATAAAGAAGGAACGTTTTTCTCCTGAATCTGAGGAGGTCCCTGAGGTTCCAACAAACATGTTTGATGTGTTTTATCAGTATTATACTGATGAATCTCCACGTTTTAGTAGTGAACGCCTGCCTTTGCCATTGTTTCAGGGATCTGGACTCAATTTTGTGACAGCTAACAACAGCAAAATTGAAGATTTGTTAAAGTCACTCCCGGGGTCTTTGACTCCTGGTACAGATGAAATAGATGAGCTTAAATTTGTGCCAATAGACGATAACAAAGTTACGCTTTTGTTACAGTCACTCACACAGTCTGTGACTCCTGGTACAGATGAAATAGATGCTAGACTGCTAAAAGTTACTGCTCGGTACATCTCTGCTCCCATACGCCACATTATGAACCGTTGCATTGCCTGTAATGAGTTTCCATCTCAGTGGAAGAATTCCAAAATATTACTAGCTTCACAGAGCGGAAACGCTGATTTCAGGCCAAAACATGTCCTTCCTGTTTTAAGTCAGATCCTGGAGAAAATTCTGGTGGAGCAGATGACGGAGCACTTTACTAACAATAAACTGTTTGCTCAGCATAAAAAAACTCTTCACGAAATGACACAAGACTTGCCTACAGAATCTAACAATGGTGCAGAAGGAGCTGAATTCAAAGAAGGATTAAATTCCTTCCTTGACACAATCAGTCCTGAAATGCTGATTGACAATTTAAAATCGAATAACTTCTCACAAGAGGCTGTTACTATGATGAAAAGCTTTCTCTCTGACAGAAGACAGAAAGTGTACTACAACAGCTGCCCTTCTCACTGGAGAAAAGACTGTGGGCTTCCACAAGGAAGTTGCCTGGCTTACTTCCTGTTCTCTGTTTATACTGTACAAATGACCTGAAACACCTTTTTAATCATATCTTCAGTTGTTATGGAAGGCAGTTACTTCATAATACATCATTGAGCTTATACCCATGAGGAGTTAAAGAATATGTGGAGAAATGAATCACAAGCCCTGAGTCACTGGATAAAACAAAACAAGGTGGCCAAATTTATCCAGGGGGTAATTGATATTCATCAACTCCTCAGATCAACGCTGCACTTGAATGTGAATCAATTTTTTCACATCCAATTTTTAGAAGTTGTAATACAGAACGAGCATATTTCCTGGTCAGACATCCGCAAGAAAATAAAAATTGCTTTGGTATGATCAGGTAATGTTCTGTAAATGTCTCAGGGGAGGTGGGTCATTTTGTTCTTTCATTAGTGCTCTCTCAATAATAGGACTGACGCCGATGTACCATCCATTGCTGACCACACACACCTTGGTTTTCAAGTTGCTTTTGCTAGGATTTATGTTTGAGTTATGGTTTGCTGAGCATTTTGATGTTAGCTTAGGTTATGACAATCATTCTGTGAGTGTCTCCTTGTTCATGCTATGACTCATGTTTTTGTGTTTTGTTTTGCTTTTTCACTATTTAACCCATCAACACAAATAGTTTGTAAATGAGTGAATTTTTATTTTCTGTTTTTCTGGTGTTGGCATACTTGGGTTTGTAAAAGTTATTTTTGTCAGGTTTCAGCTAAACTGTGGTTTCTTTTTCTCTGTAGTTTTGTTTTGTTTTTTGTTTTCTCTGAACTCCATTCATGGTCTGTAAACTGGCAATAAAGGATTTAAAACTTGTCCAATGATTACACGAGTTGTATTCTTCTAGAACTTAACATCATCCACGCATCCAACAATGGCTCAGAATTTTAAAACAGAGAAGTATTAGGAATATTTGGTTTTTAGTTCATGGTATTTGAATATGCACAACGAAATGACATTTTGATCCAGCTAGCAGGGATATCAGGTGCAAAAGCAGGTTGGGTTAAGTGTGCGTTTATTAAGAAAAAGTAATACAGAACATTAATAATTATTTCCCCAGGAAATGCTAATTATCAGTTATAAAAATGCTGATAGTTCATACAGAAGCAAAGTTGAGTACTCAATTAGAGCGTATAGCTTGACATATGTAAATCTGAAAGTAACTGTGATTATCTTTGTGAAGTTTGCAGGCAAAACCAAATCCTACAGCTACGTTGGATTGGTTGAGAAGGTTGATGGTGCTGACACTGGTGCGAAGTTTTTAAGGTGATGTAGTAATAGGCCTGTGAATGAAAAGCCCATCTTCACTCTCAAAGAAAATGATGACAGCGTCATCCCAAGAGAAGATGCACATAAAGAAATAACTACCCACACCACAAAACTTGGTGGTACAGCCAGAAGGGAGCAGTGGGGAAAATCAACAAGTTCATGCGGTGCTAGGCCTTGTTTAAGAAAAGGGACTTTTAATGTGCTCATGTGGCAGAACTGGCTTGTATAAAATTGGTCTTTGACGTTTGACGTTGTAAAATAACTTTAAAAAAAACGTGGATGAGTAGTTTGGTGTTAAATTTGTCTAGCTTTTATATAGCATTAGTTTCTGATTTAAAAATATACTGTTTTGCTTTAATAATCAGTGGCACAATTAACCCAGTGTATTCTCTCCAAAGGCACAACTTACACACTGGGGGCAAGTTGTGCCACAAGACCACTTTTTTCAGAAAGCAATATTTCTTAAAAACTATATTTCAAATCCAAAGTGATTGTTCCCAGGGATGCACGACATCCTGATATATATTTATATATTTTAGTTGGGAGCATTACTGTCATGGCCTCCCATTAAAGTCACTTTAAGTTAAAAACTGACACAACTCACCCCACTCTCCCCAGTATGTCTTTCTGTATTGTTTTCTGCCATTTTAACAACACTGACATGACTGAGTCAGATACAACACAGACTTACCTGAGCCAGGACATCCTATCTCCTTCACACCATTTTTAGGTAAATTTTGTTCAACAGGTGAAGACTCATGAAATGGCAAAATATTTGTTTTATTTCTGTGTAGATGTATTGATTTTGGACTTGGAAATACTCTGATTCTTGGTGCCATGTTCTCGAAGCTTCTTGTGTCTTCTAAAGCTCAAACGTCAGACACACTTTTCAATTTGGGAGGCGTTTGTACGTCAAACTATGTCATATGTAAACCTGACAAACTACATAAAGATGCCGTGTAGTTGAGTCAGATACAATACAGACGCACCCAAGACAGGACGTCCCATCTCCTTTGTGCCATTTTTAGGTGAAGTTCATTCGACTGGTGAGTCAAAACTATCAAAACATTTGTTTTATAAGTAGAATTACTGATTTTTCTACTGTGAAGAAGTGTTGGATTGTAATAATTCAGTGTGAGAACATTTATAGAAGTAAAAGTCCTGAAATCAGAATCATGTTGTTGCCTGAAAGCTTCATCATGAACAGAGTATCAAAGGTATCAAAGGCATCAGTATACCTTTTGTAAATCTTGGTACCTTACATGTTGTAATGAACAGCTTTTGGGGCTGTTGGGCCTTTAAATCCTTCTAATCAAATGTAGTTTAGTTTTTTTTTTATCTAGCTTGTCAATGACTGGATGCGTGAAGAAGAAAAGGTTATTTGGATACATTTAGAATTTAGTTTTGTGTCATTGCACAAATCTGTGCCATGGAAAGGAAAAGGTACGTCTGGTGTTCAAGCTTTAGAAAACAAGAGAAGCTTCGAGAACATGCTGCCCTAGCATGACACAGCAATATGCTCAGTTACTCAGTGTAATACTGTAGGCAAATTTGTGCATGGTGCAAATTGCTGTACATAACAAAGTGTTGAGTAAGGCAGATTGCTGTGTCATACTAGGGCGGCATGTTCTCGAAGTCTCTCGTGTTTTCTAAAGTTTGAACGTCAGACATACCTTTCCTTTTTGGGAGGTGTTTGCACATCAGTTTGTTATATGTAAACTTGATAAACTGCATTTTGCCATCATATCAGCAGTGGTGTCATCACCTTGCAGTCAGTTGATAGAATATATAAAGATGCCCTGTAGCAGATTCAGAAATAACACAGCGCGAGGACAACCGATCTCTTTGGCACCATTTCAGGATAAAATTCTTAAAGCTTCTTGTGTCTTCTAAAGTTCAAATGTCAGACACACAACCTCTTTGGATTTTTCTCTAATTGTCATCATTTTAAAGAAAAACTGAAGAAGCAATTTATTTTAAAACAGATTTTTTTAAATTATTTTTTAATGTAAAACAGTAGATTGAAAGTCACATGATTCACTGAGGCTCATGTCTACTCTCAGCTTACATTACTCCCTGTATCACTATTATTCTTTTTATCACTCGCACAGCGTTATTTTATTATTCCTAGTACCACATTAGTCTTTTTGTTGACTGCACTGTTCTTGATAAATAATAACTTTGTATAGTTCAGAGTTTGATACTTTGATTGTATGTCTGTGGTCTTTCTGGCATTGATTACCTTTGGTGTCAAACTTCTGTTCTCACAAATGGACTTTTTAATCCAAACCCTCCATGCTTTTCAGCCTGGTAAACACATCCATCCATCCATCCATCCAGCCAGCCAGCCAGCCAGCCAGCCAGCTCAGAGTCACAGGAGCACTCTCTGCCTATCTCAACTGTGATCTCCGACTTTGGGGACTGTGACGAGTCTGAGAAAGCAACACAGCAGGAGCCTGCACATCTGCAGTTCAGAGCCTGTAGAACAAACATCACTGAGTAAGTAAAGATTCTCATGTCCACAATGTAATGGTTACTGTTTGGCCTAATGTTGACTGAAGCTATGTCCTTAACCCTTTGACACATTTCCACAAGTCTTTCTACGTCTGCACGAGCTGATACGTGTATCAGATTGCAAAAACTTTATTAATCCTTACAGGTAACTGACTTTATGCAAGGTGCAAATAAATAAAAAGAAAGTACTGATGAATGAAGAGATCAAAGGGAGGGTTGCAAGAACAACTAAGCCAAATGGCTGCTTTCCATTCAGAGGAATGTAGCCACTGCTATTATTCCTGCGCTGCAATAGCTCGCTTGAACATTTAGTTGACTCATTGTCATGTGATTGATTCTAGCTGCTTGGTTTTTGAAGTAACAATAGAAAAGTAAACTGTAAAAGACATCCATTAAAAATACACATGTTAAATTGCACTTTAAATTTCTTCTATGACAAGGACTGTGTCAGAAATAAATTCTTACTTCTCCATTCATTGCACTGTTATGGGCTAACAAAAGAGTCTTTAGTAGCATCAAAAGAGACCACAAGCTTATCTTTCTTCCACTCCAGCTCAGCTCTTGTTAAATGACATTTACATGTACAATAAACCATCAGAAGATATATTATATATAATATATAAATATAAATAATATCAGTCTATGATTCTATATTTTATTTAAGCCTAAATAAGTGGGGTTATTTCTATCTCTACAAGAATCACCAACAACTCAAAACACTTTTTCAGAGATAACATCACAGCTTCATTGCTTCTCAATGACTCTCCTCTGTGACAAAACAGCATAGTACATATTTACATCTATACACCGCATGTGACTCCAAATAACCAGAATATTTCTAACCTCCAGGTAAACTGAACCGATAGAAGCTCCAGAGCTAAAAGACAAGCTTCAAGTTAGAGTCTCTGAACATCGACACTACCTTCAGGTGAGTTTACTGTCAGTCAGATTATAAAATGAACCACTCTCAGTGCGCCCCAGGGTAGCTGTGACTACAATGTAGCTTGTCATCACCAGTGTGTGAATGTGTGTGTGAATGGGTAGATGACTGAATGTGTAAAGCGCTTTGGGGTCCTTACGGACTAGTAAAGTGCTATACAAATACAGGCCATTTACCATTTACTAGTTTGACTCAAAACAAACTTAAACATGAGGGACAAATCAAAAGAACACCTTTAGCGGACATAATGGCATGCTCCTGATGAGATGAGGGATGGTTTGAAAATGTCTCAGTGTTAGTTTTAGTCTTTTCAATAATTTTTTTGTATCTTTTATTATTGTGTGGAGGTCATCTGTCAGAGGCCAGCTTTAGGAAAATCAGTAAATGTATTACAATAAAAACCATAAACCTTTTAAAAGCAGTTGACTTACTGTTGTAGACATCCACAGTGTTAATAAACAAGTTGATCAATTACTCAGCAATATGATATGATATGATATGATATGATATGATATGATATGATATGATATGATATGATATGATATGATATGATATGATTTTATTGGATTTTTATTTTTTTACCAGACTAACTTTTACTAACAATAATCTTTTTTACATCACGTTTTCGATTATATTTTCGTTTTAGTTAACTATAATAACTTTGGTGTTCAGGGAGCTCTACTCCCAGATCTACATCCAAAATAAATTCAAACTTGTACCCATTGCACCCAATTATTGTTTTTCCAAGTCATTAAAGATCCATGCTGTACAATCATTCCACCCTGGAATCAAACAGATGAAAGAAGTCAGTAAAATCCCCAAATTACCATGACATTCATGCCCATAATGAGTGTATATAAACTTCTGATGACAATTAGTTAATATATATTTGATCACCTGGGTTCTCCGGATCTTAGGTGATGATTTATCATGATTTAGATTACGTGAATTCATCTAACAATGTTTCAGTGCTTTGTTGTAATAACTGTGCTGTGCGTGTGTTGCAGACTGATCATTGATCAGGAGTGGACAACACAAGCAATCAGGCCCATCAACAGTTGAGGAAGAGGAAAGCTCCGAATCATCTGCTTAGGAGGACAAACCAAGACCTCAGCGGTGCTTCTATCTGTCTGTTTAAGCCATGGCCAATTTAAGTCCCACAGCTGTAAACTTGTTTCAGTTCATTGTTATAATAACTGTGCTGTGTTTGTCTTGCAGACTGAGCGTTGACCAGGACAACACAGATAATCAGGCCTGACAACAGGAGAGGAACATGGCTGATTTGGATCCCACAACTGAAAACTTGCGCATGGCTCATCTGAACATATGCAGCCTTAGACACAAGATTCCTGACATTCACATCTTTTTAGAACATTATAAAATACACGTGCTAGCTGTCACTGAAACTCATTTAGGCATAACTGTTAGAAACTCTGAACTAAAAATAGATAATTACAAGTTGTACAGAAAGGATGGAAAAAAGAAAAACAAAGGAAAAAGGGATCGGGGTGGTGTAGCTCTCTATGTTCAAGATCACATTAGCAAACACATTAAGAAACTGTTTGTCTCAAATCTGCCTAATATAGATCTGATCTGGGCTGTCATTAACCTGCCACATACCAAACCAGTTTTCATAGGATGTTGTTACATATCAGAAAAATTTGATTATAAATATCTTGAAGGTATCAAGATATCAGAGAAAGACCGAACAGAAAGACACATTTTCCTGCTGGGTGACTTTAACATGAATTGGTACTTAGAAAAAGATAGAAACAACATTGAGTATTTTTCTAAAAGGTGTGGTTTAAAACAGGTTGTAAACTGTCCCACCAGGTTAGAAAACTGTATTGATCACATCTACACAAATATTCCAAAGCTTTATGACTCACCATGGTCAGTTGTCACAGGCTGTAGTGATCATAATCTTGTTATTGTTGATGTAGAAAAAATAAAAGTACCCCAAAGAATATCCATTAGGGATCCTAAACCCTGGTGGTGGGATGAAGATTTAATATATTTGATAAAGGAAAGAGATGATGTAAAAAGGGATTTAACTATAGTAAAAGAAAATAAAGAAAGTGACACAAAAAAAGCAAAGAGTTTACGCAAAAAGATTTTAGATAAGTTCAAAAACATAAAGAAGAAATATTTTCCCCAAATTCAACCAGAAGATATCTGATATTCATCAACTTCTCAGATCCACATTGCAATTGAATGTGAATCAATTTAATCACATCAAATTCTTAGGAGTTATAATACTGAACCAGCATATTTCCTGGTCAGACATCTGCAAGAAAATAAAAAAAAAACTGCTTTGGTATGATCAGGTAATGTTCTGTCTCAGGGGAGGTGGATCATTTTGTTCTTTCGTTAGTGCTCTCTCAATTGTAGGACTGAGGCCTCTGTACCATCCATTGCTGACCACACACACCTTGGTTTTCAAGTTGCTTTTGTCAGGATGTATGTTTGAGTTATGGTTTGCTGAGCATTTTGATGTTAGCTTAGGTTATGACAATCACTTTCTGAGTATCTCCTTGTTAATGCTATGACTCATGTTTTTTTTCTTTTCACTATTTAACCAGTCAACAGAAATAGTTTTTAAATGACTGATTTTTTGTTTTGTGTTTTTCTGGTGTTGGCATACTGGAATAAGTTATTTTTGTTAGGTTTCAGCTAAACTGTGGTTTCTTTTTCTCTGTAGTTTTGTTTTGTTTTTGTTTTCTCTGAACTCCATTCATGGTCTGTAAACTGGCAATAAAGGATTTAAAACTAGGGCTGGGTATTGTCCCTGATTTCTAGAATCAGCTCAATTCCAATTCACAAGGTTCAATTCAATTTGAATCGGGGAAATTTTCCCTCAGCCTTTCAGAAATATTATAATTCTGATCATTTATCAGTACATATCCATATTGTTATATCTATGAAAAGAAAGCTGACACTTGTGAGACTATCAGAGGTGTAAGCATCACAGCAGATGCCTTTTTGTCAAATTAACTGAGCATAAAACACAAAAAAACACGAAGAAGATTTTCCTGGTCTGGCTTTTTATAGCAGATAATCACCATTAAAAATATTCTGCAATAGAACAAATGCGGAAAAAACCATGAATAAACATATGAACATTACCTGATGCTGCTGAAGTGAAGTGCATCAAAGTTACAGAATCTTAATTAGAAACACAGCTAAGCATTTTGCAATTTCACATGATTTTAAAAAGTTTAAATTTCTTCAGTATTGAACAGCAGAAATGAGCCTTTCTTATTGTAAGTCAGTAAAAATAAAAAACAAAACAAAAAAACAACAACAACAACAACAAAACAGAGGCCGACAGGGCTGTACATAACAGTAGACTGGTGGGTAATAAGCACGCGGATAATGCAGAAAACAGAGATTTTTAGATGGAAAACTACCCTTGAAGTAGGGGAGACCAGGGATAGTTGTAACATTCCTGACATTTTTGGCTGTAGCTTTGAGCTCTTTTAAGGTAGTGGATTCAAAATGCAATGCAAAGTTTTTACATGTCTTTATGAAATAGTAGAGCTATTTTTTCTGCAACGCAGTTACTAATTGCACGGTATGGTCTCAAACACAAAGAGAGAAATGTGACAATTAACCCCATGGTCTGGGTTATGTAATCATGTCATCTTTTTTATTCAACACCTGAATGCACTTATAAGAACTGATGTAGCTACAGCTAATATTTAAACATTATAATGAAGCTGAAAAAATGTAGTTGTGCACCAGCTTCATCAACTGCACTGTATGTGTTTGTGTCATGTTTTTAATCACTATCAAAATCATAGTGATGACAGATGTATGGCACCCTTTGAGTGCAGGCCTCATGAGCCCACAGAGTACAGGACAGGCACTTAACCCAAGCTTCTGGGGGAATGTAAGCAAAGCAATTCCATTGCTCTTGCAGAAGTCAATGGCTGCAGTTAGCAGGTGTGAACTGTGGTTATCCATGGGAAGAATCACTTTCTTTACGGCTGACCTTGGTGTGGTTTGCAAAGTGCTTCAACTATAGATGAGGAACTCTGTTTCTTGCATCCATCCTGATTTATTTCCACTATACTTCCTACTGAGAATCTTTCTGGCCCAGTCCTCGAAGATTTGTCCAATGACTTTGGATATTTACATCCATGTTTCACTGCAAGCTGATATGACAGTTCTTTTACCTGTAATTTTAATCACAAAAAATGTTAGTATTTCTGCTATACTATATTTTAAATGGCCACCATTACAAATTTCTAACTTTTCCCTACCTTATCCTCTATCAATTCCTATTGGCTTACCTCACATGGCCATAGTCAATAAAATGCATCTGCAACCCTCATCAGGTATTCTGTTAATTCTTTGTGAAGATCTTCTTTCGACTATTCAATTCAATTTCAATTCAATTCAATTTTATTTATATAGCTCCAAATCACAACAAAAGCCACCTCAAGGCGCTTTATATTGTACAGTAGATACAGAGAAAAACCCAACAATAATATGACCCCCTACGACCAAGCACGCGACAGTGGGAAGGAAAAACTCCCTTTTAACAGGAAGAAACCTCCAGCCGAACCAGGCTCAGGGAGAGGCGGCCATCTGAAGGAAAACAGGATAAAGACATGCTGTGGAAGAGAGACAGAGATTAATAACAGATATGATTCAACACAGAGTTCTGTTACTTTTTTTCTTAAATTGTCTGTGTTTGTCAAAGGGTGCTAATTTTTCACATGTGATAGAGTAACTGAATTGGGCATGTACAGGATGAATCAGAACGAAATTAACATCTTATAGTTTCTATCCTATCTAGCTCTTTCTAAGAAGTCAGTTTAATAGGCATAAGGTTTAAATTGATTTCTCTTATCCTCGAACTAAAATTCTTATGTGTTTACATAGTTCAGACCCACTTAGACTGTAGTTCAACAGGGTGAATACAATGTTTAAATGCCACAGTGAGCGCTTCTTTCAGAAAAAAATACTGTGCCGCAGTCACGCTGCTAGAGTCCGTCTCCATCATGGCCGCTCAGTGGACACAGTTTCACCGAAACTCCTGTAAAAATGTAGACACTGGATCGCGCATGCGCATTGCCGGTGGCTTAGTGGGTCGCAATCTCGCGCAACTTGCTTGGGCGACAGTCGGGGTTATAGCAACGGAAAGCCCATCAGCAGAAGCAGCGGGACGGCGAAGAGAGACGGCGGTAGCTTCAGTGAGTAACAAGAACTTTATTAAAAACGGCCCTCCGCACGGCCCAGTCCGTGCTGTCTAAACCACTTTATCACGGGATAAAGACTCCAACCGTCCCGTAGGTGACAGCCAGTCGTTGGCTGGTAAGGTGCGTGTGTATTATCGAAAAGGCCTCCAGAGGGGGGTAACGTTAGCCTGTAAAAGTCGCGTTTTCAGTTACGCTCGGATGTGTTAAAGTTAGCGGATACAAGTGTAGGGAAATATAATAAGCTGGAAAAACTGCTTATTTAAAACAACAGTAGCCAAACAAAACACCCACGGAGCCCCACCACAAACCTGCGAGGGGCGAGCAGTTAGCCGGGAGCTAGCTGATCGGTCTGAGCAGCGCTGAAACGCCTGTAACGTCAACTGTCAAAACACCGAGCCGTGAACGAAGTTCAGCCCTTAACTGTCCAACAAACCATGGTTTATAAACTATTGCATTACCAAACTTTTCATAGCCTGCTTAGATCAAACTATAAAATGCAAAATTACCTCTGCTGATAAAGAAATACAGTTTTTATCAGATTGAGCCCCTTATCTGATTAAAAACCTGTTGACAAAGAGCTCTTTATGACTGCTACAATACGATATTATTTCAAACTAAGTAGAAGTGTCCTGTAAGTCTGAATTTTTTGTCAGTCAATTTTAACTAGTACATCTTCTTTTAATTAGTAAATTGTATTCTCTGTTATTTATTTATTTACTCTTGTTTATTTCCCGACAGTACGTCAGACTTTACCAAAAAAAGAAAAATACTCTCACTTTATAGGTCAATCTATCAGCATGATTTATTAGTAGCTTCATAATTAACCCTTTAAATGTATAATAGAAAAATATTTGCTAATTTAAGCTTTACATTAAATGTATGGGTTCTATTAATAAAAAAAGAGAGGACAGCTGTGTCAGCCAACGATTTTTTACAATAAATCTGAAAATGTATCAGGACAAACCAAGCAAGTTTTTACTGGCACACATCATGTCTTTAGTTGGAGCTGTGTAAAATACCAAATATAACATATGCATAAATAGTATTTTTGAACCAGCAAGGTGATTCCCTTGCTTAAAACTTGACATATCTCACCATGGTGTGCACAGTGTGCTTTTTAAAAGGAAAATCAGAGTACAGTGGATTAGTGGAAGATGAAGTAGAAGTGGTAGGCCTATAAAATTATCTACAGCAGATGAACAGCATTTTTAAGAAACAGGAAACAATACAGTAAAGACCTGACACAGGACCTGAGCGAAAATGCTGAGATATGCCAACTTACACAAGAACAGGACTGAAAATTAGTGTCAGTAGGTCGCATGTAGTGATGAGTCCAAATTAAAAATTTGTGTTTCAAATCATCATCAATATTTACAAAAGAGAATGAGGAGAGAGGTACAACAACGAGTGTCTACAGCCATCTGTACAACATGGTGGAGGCTCTGTCACGTTTGGGCTGCATTTCAGTCAGTAGTGTTGGAGATCTTGTCACATGTATGAAAGGTATTATAGAACCAATTTTTTTAACACTCAAAAATTGCCTTTTTAAAAATCTGTAAATTATAGTATTTTTTTATTTTATTTGTTGTTGATTATTAGCGTTTGTTGCTGGATGAGAAAGGTCCTTGATTAGTTATACTAACACGTTCAATCTGTTATCTTTTTTGAGAGTAATTTCTGAATTTCCCATGTTACTTTTAGTCTGAAAAACAAAAATGTCTTTTATAATTATTGATGTGGTTTGTTTGTCATCGTGATCATGAGCAGCTATCATGTTCAATAATGAAGACTGTTCAGTTGCAGAGCTTTGATCTAAAATTATTATATATGTATTTTACAGTGTTTCAGTGCTGCTGGGTCAAATTCATTGGTCCGGTTACACTTTTTATGAACATAGTTTTTTTTGTCTATATTGTAGAGAGTCTCCAAAACTAACATTACACAAAGCAAAACACAATCAGGAGCTGAATAATTTATCATTCAGTCTGTACTCACATTTTGATGGTTTTTCATTTAATCTGAAGGTTATCAAAGTGTTAACCCTGTGTTCCTATCAACATAAAATGCTAATAACATTTAAAAGAAGACCCAAATTTATATTTGACTTCAACAAGTGAAATAATTCCAGAAACATTTGGCTGTTATGTGTGGATGGTGTTAGGGAAATTAGAATTATAATAGAAGGGAGTTGTGGGATTTTTTTTTGGTTTGACTTGGACATTTCTCTGGAAATTTCTGGATATTTGTTTTATGTTGCCTTCATTTCCACACCTTATATCCTGAATATATAGTACTCCCCCCCCTTCCCCCCGTATTAGGGATGTGTGACAACGGCTCAAGGTTATGTCACAATAGCTTAAAAAAACTTGTGATATTGATATTTCTGGTGGTATAAAATAAATCGAAACAATGTGTTATTATTGCTTGTAGCTTGCAAGTAGCAGCATTTATACGTGTTAGTAAATGAAGATAATTTTCTTTCCTTCTTTTCCAATGAACTACTGTCATTGATGACACATTACCTAATCTGAAGTGTGAATCTACTGAAACAAGGTGCCAACAACAGCAGCATTTCGCTGTATTAGCAGTGACACAGCATAAGTTTAATGTAAGAACAAAAGTAGCGTAGTTAGTATCTT